CAATCTTCATTTTTTTTCACCCTAAAGGGTTAACTGTTTAATTTAACCCCCTCATGACTGCAATGTTCAAAGTATGTCAGCAACATAGATTGTGGATCACCCTGCAGGTGGATGTCAGTGTGGAGACCTTGCAGCACCTTTCCATATTGGTCATATCACCACAATTGATTGAAACAGATTTCAGAGTCTGGATTCAGCTTCAATACTACTCCCTGCAGGGACTGCCTAACCATCCAAATACACTGTACAGTGAGTAACTCTTCATTTGATACATATGTATCTGCTTTTTCTATACAGCGCTTGTGCTTAAAGTTAGTTTTTTGACCACTTGGTCGAAATATGGTTTTCAAACTGCACCTTTTTTTCACTTGGGCCATACTAAGGAGGACTTGCCTTTTATTGATTTTAAATGTCTTTGTCAGTTGGTGGTTTTTTGATGCGATTTTGTTTTATGTTGTTTTCTATTTCTTTAATTTTCATAAAATTTTTGATACATTGTACTGCCTGTTTTTCTATTATAGACAGCTCCATCTTATGGGATTTCTTATTTAGGGGAGCCTTGCTTGTTATTGGGTTTTTACGCGTTACCCTCATTTTTTATACTGTATTTGTCCTAAGTGAGGCGTTAGGCGCACATATGTGATATAAATATATAGCCCCATCTGTCCTCTAAAAAACAATATATAATATCTCTGGGTGCACTTAGTAAGTATATTACTGCCATGGAAGAATCACATAGCAAAAAGGTAAAAAGTGCTTCAGTCATTAAGGAACAAACTGAAAAAAGCTCAGTCATAAAAGGGTTAAAATGCTGCCGTGTCAGCCGCACTCCTTCCACATATGTGTACTGCAATCTTCAGCTACTCCAATCAAAATTTTCTACATCCTGACTCAAAACCACACTTGTCCTTTAAGTGAACAATAGATATGCTTCACATAAGGTTCCCATGCTGATGCAGAGCTGCCCGTGTGCGTTTCCTTTTTAAGGTTCTAGGATTCTGCAGGTTTTGGCGTCAAGTGCTAAAGTCTTTTTGCCATGTTACACATTATTATGTACCACGCCTCTGTGCTCACGCTCACCTTTACTGACTGACTCACTAATCTTTCCTCAAATACAGCTAATAAAAAGTGCACACCTAGATTGAAAGGAAAAGGAGGCGGAACCACAAAAGGATTGTATTTTTTGTGTGTGAACAGCGGATCACATATGAAACAGATTTGGTTTCTTTGCCCTCAAGTTAGCAAATTTAAAACTCGCCATGCAGCAGTTCCATTCACACAATACTAAATTAACATGTCTGCTTTTCCATAATGACAACTGTTGTCTGTTGTCCCATGTCGATTTCACCAGGTGTCTTCCATTCTGACCAGGTTGTAGGTGGTGGAGGCAAAACAATGCAAGTCGCCGATTTATAGAATTTAAAACTAAACCAAGACCGAGTCTTGAAATAGCTCTTCTTCCTAACTTTACAGTGCACAGATAAAAGGACATTCAAATATTTACCGTATTTTGCGATCCATAAGACGCACCGGACCATAGGACGCAGGGAGGTCCGGCGCGCCTTATGGAGCACTCGAGACTGTAGCTTCTGTGACAGCTTCTATGACAGAAGCTGTCACAGAAGCTGCAGTTAGTGACCGCTGAGACAGGTGGCGCTGCGATTACAGCGCCACGGTCTCAGTGATGACCCAGAGCAGGCGAAGAACGTCTATTCTTCGTCTGCTCTATGGTTATCTCGATCGTCACCGCTGCTCGGTTTTAATACGAGTGATCTCATTAGATCACTCGTATTAAACGAGCAGTGGCTCCTGCTGCTGAACTCGATCGCCGCCGCCGCTGCTCGGCTTTAATACGAGTGATCTCGTTAGATCACTCGTATTAAACGAGCAGTGGCTCCTACTACTCGCCCGGCGCCCGAAACTGCATGTCTCGGGCGTCGGGATTCACTCCATAAGACGCAGGCACTTTTTCCCCCTCCTTTTGGGGGGAAAAAAGTGCGTCTTATGGAGCGAAAAAAACGGTACATATTCTTGACAAGCAGTAAAAGAGTTTTAAAACAAGAAATCACTGACCTCTCTAGCTGCTTTTACTGTAAAGTACTTAAGAGAACTACCGGGTCAGTGTTATTCCCCATAGTTCTCTTTAGGGTAATGGGAGGACATATACTAACCTCCTCCCGTGACCCAAAGTTCAGTATATCGCAGGCTATTGCCCGTGATATACTGAGAGCGCCACAGCCGGGACGGATCCCGACAATACTGTCGAGATCTACTCAGCTGCGTGAGTGACAGCTGGCTCTGCCTATCTAGGAGGCAGAGCCAGCTGTGCCCGCCCCCTCACCCGTTCGTTCCTCCGCTCAGCGCTGGAGGATTGGAGAGGGGAGGGGGGAATCCCTGCAGGGAGCGATGACTGACAGTCACTGCTCGCTCCAGGGAGACGATTGGGAAGAGGATCGGCTGTATGTTTCTGCTCACTTCCTGATCAATAGAGCCGACCCGTGACAGCTTCTTTGTTTCAGGTCGGCTCGAACTATGAGGATGAGTGGAAATCACTCACCTCATAGATCTCCTTTAATTCTCAAAGATCACATCAGACTCAAGTCAGAATTCAGGCTTTCTAACAGCTTAGAATTAACGAATGTGTATTTACATTAAACATCTGGTGCAGTAGAAAGCAACAGGAAAAAAAAACAATTTCATTGTGTCTATTGTGAACTTTGAGAATGAATTTATTCACAATGCCTACTGCTTCAGAGGTGAATAAGGGCTTGTTTTAAAGTCCAAAGTACTGCTTGTTCAGAATATGTAAATCACTTTATGTGCATAGTCTGGGCACAGGTTAACTTTAATTAAGGAATGGATTCAAATTTACCTCTGGCAGGAAATGCAGCCCACCCTAACAGATTACGGTTTTGGTACAGCTCCACTGGATTTTTTCATCTTAACATTTCTGCAGCAAAATCCCTGCACCCGTTCTCAGATCCACCCACCTTACACAATCATTAGGGAGCGTTCCTCTCTGCTAGATTCATCTTCTATTTTACCTGCCCTGCTATCCAATGTTTTTACTTTTCCAGCTAGCGGGACCACGATATCCAATTACTGGATGTTGCAGGTTAAATCTTGCCTAACAGACAATAGACAGATATGGAGTGTCTCAACTCTCACACAACCATTGCCGCAAATGGAACCTCACGGTCAGATAAGGCTTCTGCCTAATCCTTAGATTCAAGAGTCAATAGAAAACAGGCACTACGACTAAAGCTGGCCATGCACCTATAGATGATCTGCAGATTTTCTATGGTCAGATGGAAAAAGTGCAACAGATTCCTCCATCTACGCTAAACTGTGTGGATGGAGGAATCTCCTGCTGGGCCAAGCTTCAGTATCTTGCTAGTCGGCCCTGCTGGCTCTCAAAATACCTGAACAATGCCTGCATCCAATCAGATTGTAAAGGTATTTTGACAGCCAGCGGGGCAGACTAGCAAGATACTGAAGCTTGGCCCAGTGGGAGTTTCCTCCATCCACACAGTTTAGCGTAGATGGAGGAATCTGTTGCCCTTTTTCCATCTGACCATAGAACATCTGCAGATAATCTATATGTGTATGACCAGCTTTAGGCTCAGTTGTGGGGCAAAAAATAGGTCAGAAGTTCATCATTGACCGTTTTAATGCCTTTTTGGGAATAAATGGATATTACCACACTGATCGCACTTCCAGTGACGTTTTTATGGATTCTTAAATCTTGCATTACACCTATTTTTGCCAGCAGAACAAGTCTTTTTACTCCTAATGATTTTTTTTTTTAAATGACAGTCATCTAGAATTCAATGTGTCTGACATACCTTTCGCACCATAGTCATATTTGGCTGCTTGCTCCATGTTTTAGTACATACGTCATAAGACTCCATAGCGATCAACTCACGATCTCCGTCCTCTCCTCCCAGAACGTAGATTACACCATCAATTTCTACAACACCAAAACTGTGCCTTGCCTATTGGAGCAGACATAGTTATTACATACGATTGTCTCACACTTGCATAAAAGGGTTTATTGATCTGCAAATAAAGATAAAAAAACAGTTCTGCACATTCAAGTGGCCGAAGCAAAGGGCAAATCAGAGCAAAGATCAGAGATTCCCAGCCACGGTTTTCTTAGACCAAGTCTAGTGTTATGTGATTACACTACAGAACACAAATTTAAAAGAGATTACTTAAAGTACTAAACTGTTACAGTTGAACTTAGATCTGGTCAAATAAGTGCAGTCTAGTACACAGTACAATGCTAGCACATAGTACATTGCTCTTTTGGTCTGAGAGGATGTACTTACCTTATTCCTTGGTCTACAAATGCTCTGAAATGCTTTACTCCTGCCCCAGAATATGGGCAGACCCCCTCAACATCATTACATACAAAGCAGTGCCTGGTTGTGCACTGTAAGTTATGACATCAGCGAGATGGGAAAAAGACACGATCAGAGAAGAGTCGGAGATTTATGGGACTGGTCGCCAATACTTAACTAGCAGGGAGAAAGCCTGGGGGAGGGTGGCTGTAAGGGGAGTATCTCTCTCTATGAGAAGAGTGGGGGACGCCTGGCCTGGAGCTTGGCTTTAAAAAAAAAAAAAAGGTCAAACACAACCCTGAGAAAGTTGTTCCCGGCAATAAAATACTCAAAGACATGTTTTGTGCGGCGCTCAGCCCAGGAAACAGAAAGAATGGGGCTCACTTACACTGCTTACTTTTGGATATAATAGAGCTGGATCTAAATCCCTCTCAGAGTCTTTTAATCAGAACTCCAAACAGGTTAAACATTCAATTGAAACATAAGTCAGCTGTTTTACCTACCAAAGGACTTGTAATTCCGTTCAGTCACTCTTCCGATTCACCCTCCACCTTTCAGAATGCACAACTCTTTTCCCTTTCCTACTCAGTTGTGTTACCTCTCTGCTTGATGAACCATTCTCTGTATGCTGAACCATTGTTTCTGGCATTTCACTCCAATGCTGCTGAGAGCGCAAACAGGAAAACAGCCCTCAACCCCTGCCAGAGCCCAAGCTTGGCTTTTCAGTCATGCTAAAGTCGCAGCTGGCCTAAACAACTTGCGGGATTTTTGACCTTTATTATTCAGGCCTAATGTATTCAAGGTACACAGAGAACTCATTCAGGCTGATGATCCAACAACTTGGTGTCTCTCAGCCTTACCAATATGACAGATATAGCAATATGTCTTCCGAGATTCCCTCAGGAGAACTAATCACTGTCCTACCCCATCCTAAATCCAGAGTGTTTTGGGTGGAGCTGCTCTTTTAATGACTAAACAATGCTGTTTATAGGATGTTTAACATGTTATTATGAAATCACACAAATCCAGATAATGCTCTACTGGTAGCTTCAGAAATTCTAATTACTGCTAATTAATACATTACATCAAGCATAGGTGGTAGTGGGCTCCAGGCGTTGGCATCTGGATCATACAGCTCCCCAGAAATCAGAGTCTCGCTGTTTTCATTTTGTCCCCCAAGAACAAACAAGAAACCCTCTGCCAACACAAAAACAAACACACCTCAGCATGTACTTTGCATCATCTGTTATGGCTTCACCTTTTGTTATTGGCAGTATTTCAGGACAATGTATGCAAAATAAAAGATGTTATAAACATTTATCCAGTATGGATTAGAGCAAACTGATCAACAAAACAGAAGAAAATGGAATACATTTACACTAATACAAACTAAGTGTTAAAAACACACAGCATGGATTGCCCCCTGATCCAACCTTTTTGGCATACTGTAGCTGACCAGATACGAAGCACAACGGGGATGACCTTGCCATTTGATCTATCGACTTTCCTCCTTCACCTTACGCGCTCTCCAGGAAAGCGTACAAGCGCTCCTTATTGATTCACTTGATTAATGCGGGGCGAGGGCTTGTATCCCCGCTATGTGGAAGAGCTCGCAGGCCCCCTCAATAGCAATGTGGCTGCGGAGGGTGGAGAGATTGAACCAATGGAAGACCTGACTTCCTCCCTGAGAGACACCCAGGACAAGTTTGTACTTACATGGGCGGCTTGGATTCAGTTCCGGGACTCTGAGATATACTGTCGGGCCTGCTCAACCTGATGTACCTAGATCTCCTGGGGGTGGTCAACGACACATTCCTTACCCATATATGGTCTCAGGGGTGCACCCCCAGGCAGAGGGAATAATCGGGGGGGCAGAGGTGGTGGGGTGCTATGCTTTCTTTCCCTATTCTTTCTTAGTCTACTTGTTTCCTGCTTTTCTTTTTTCTTTGTTGCATCGCTGATGCTCATTTTATATCTTTGGTTGGTTGGTTGGTTGGTTGGTGTGTGTGTATTCTCACGGTCAGCCGTATGGTCTTAAAAATCTTAGGAGGTATTGCTTGGGACCCACACTGCACATTTGAGGTTGTTATTGTATTCTACCTACTTGTTTGCTATTGTGATGTACTTTTTTTTTTTTGATCGTCATTGCAGCTAATGCTGCATGTTTTATACATGGCTATTTCTGTGGTGTTTGACGTTCTTTCCTTTATAAATAATTAAAAAACAAAACACAGCATATACAAATGGAAAAAATAGAGGAGGTGTCAACAAACTATATGAATCCAATATACGGTGATGACATAACTCCAGAGCAGTTTTAAAAACACACAAAACAATTTATGTTTGGTTAGTCTGGAAGGTAAGGGTTGGAACCTCAAGTTTTTTTCTCTAAAACTGTTTTATGAGCTGCGACAGGACAGTGCCGTGTCACTGTGGCGATTGGTGGGTTTGGCGCCCAGGACTCTCGGCCAGAGGGGCCGAGAGTGTCCAGAAAACATAGTGTTACAGGGAAGGAGCTGGGTTTGCAGTTCTTTCCAGGTTTTCTGGAGTATAACTGGGATCAGGGTCTCTGGAGATTTCTAAAGGTGCCCATACACCTTACAATTATCTACAGATTTTCTGTGGTCAGATGGAAAACGTGCAACAGATTGGCCCAGGTGGAGATTACTCCATCCACACAGTTAAGAAAAATCTGCAGATAATTGTAAGATGTATGGCCAGCTTTAGAGTCTTGGGCGAGATGAAATCTCCAGTCCTGGGGCCAGGTGCAGCCAATTGCCAGATTGTTCAGGTGGCTGATAACAGCCCTATCAAGAGAGAGGACAGAGAGGAAGAGCCAGTCAGTGGTGCAGGAGTACATGCAGAGCGTGGGAGACTGTGTGTATGTGAAGCACGAGACTCTGAGCTTGAGTCTGGCTGGAGAGGCCGAGAGGTCCTGTGGCACGCGCGGTGTGGGTGAGGCCAGGAGGGTCTGTGGCACACGAGGTGTGTTTGGAAAGGTCGGAAGGACCATCGTCACACAGGGAGGTGTGAAGCTGCTGGGTGTCTGGCCAGGAGGCGGCTGAGGCTCTAACCCTGGAGGTGGGACATGCTACCGGGTGCGGAGCAAAATCTTGGATGTTGCTGGAAGATGCACCCTGTTTATGTTTCTTTGCTGAAAAGAAGCAATTTAAGTTGTACTGTTTGGAAGAAAATAAAGTTTTATTCGCTGATACAGCTGGCTAAGGATCCTTCGATACCCTAAATGTTACAGAGCATAAACAAAAAAATAAAGACCTCTGACACGTTTTTAATACTGCCTCTGCCCTCTCACGTTCAGGGCCCAGCCATACCATATACAGTGTGTTACTTTGCCTCTTACTGGAGAGGTTTCCCTTCACTTCTCGTCCCAGAGACACAACTGAGGGCCCAGTCACACCATATCCAATGCATTCTGGCACAGGTTGAGCCCGATGCGTTCTGGCACAGGTTAAGCCCGGAACACACTACACCTACCGCCCTCAGTCCGATTGCCCGCACCAGAACACGTGGCACAGCAATGCCCATCGTTTCAGTGCGATCGAGAAAAAAAAAAAAAAAAGAATTTAGGGCTTGCACTGGAATGCAGGGCATTCCAGTACCACGCGTTCTGGTGCGGGCGATCGCACTGCGGTTGGGGGTGTGTCTGCGGTGCCATTGACATGAATGGCACCAACACGCCTCCTCCCACACCAGAACGTGGCCCGGCTTGATTTATGCGATTCAGTGCGTTCCGGGCTCAAACCGTGCCAGAATGCAACGGATATGGTGTGACTGGGTCCTCAGTTGTGTCTCTGGGACGAGAAGTGAAGGGAAACCTCTCCAGTAAGAGGCAAAGTAACACACTGTATATGGTATGGCTGGGCCCTGAACAGGCTTTAGCTATACTTTAAAAGATAAACTTACAGTGAACAACGGTGAGGAGGAGACCTACCTGCAGATAAAACCCCATGATTGATTCTTGGTGAGCTCAGTGGTGCCAGCTCAATCCATAATTGTCTGTTCCGATCATAAAGTGGGCACATACAACGGACATTGGCCAATGGTTTCCGAGACCTTAAAAACAGGAACACACATTCATTTAACCATTTCCCTATAATATAATGTTACACTCCTCCTTAGGATTGCTAGGAAATCCACAGATCGCTGGTGTTTGGCAGCAGTATCCTCCAACTGGGAAGGAAGCTCCTTCCGCTGCGGCCGGGGAATATCTCGCCTGCAGCTGCATGTAAGGAAAGGGGCGGGATGCTGTGACATCATTTACCTTATATGGCCACATGGCTATATTTAGTCAAGGTCGATGACCAATGATCAGCCCAATGATTAGCACACTGATATTCAGCACAAAACATCCCACCCCTTTGTTTATGTGCAGCTGCGCGTAGGGAATGCCCTGGACCACAGTTGACAATGGCCGGGTGGCCGCATATCTCTTCTGTGTTCAGAGCTAGTTTGGGCCAAACCTGAGCTCACGCTTATATTACATGTTTGCTTTGACATATTAATAAAGATTTGTAGATCACTAGAGGGAAAGAACACTATATCTGCTGTCACTTTGCCTTATTAACATATATACGCTATCAGGTACATGGGGAGTGCATTGTTTTCAATCAGTTGGCTGACTCAGGTTCGCATTTTGAATGAAAAGGAGTAAAGTACAACTATTGTGGAGCAATACTAAGAAGGAAGCAGAACCTGCATACGAAATGAGCAAAATATGACTGACCCCATACACAATTACAAAGCATACAATGAAACAGTTTTTTAAAATATTAAAGAAGGCTCCTGATGGGAAAAAAATAAAAAATCT